GAGAGAGAGAGAGAGAGAGAGAGAGAGAGAGAGAGAGAGAGAGAGAGAGAGAGAGAGAGAGAGAGAGAAAGAGAGAGGACGGCAACTGATATCCGGCTGAGGTGACAATTGGTGTTTTCACGAGAGTGCGGGGTGTGGACGAACGGACTTTCGCGTGGCTTTCGGAGTTTTAGCGCGGTCGTCTCCTCATCTAGCCTGTGTAGTTACATAGTCGTCTTCGCGAGTTTCCGTTTCCCTGTTCTTTGGGAGTCGTCGTGTATCTCGAGAGCGAGGCAAGATGTTCAAGGCTCTGACGAGAAGGTCGGGAAAGAAGCGGGAGAAATGGGAGTTCAAGTTCCGCTTCCAGGCAACACGTGTCCCTCACGCCGGTTTCGACCGACTTTTCGTTGCCGTCATCCCTGTGGACGTCGGCCGTAGCATCAGTGCGACTCGGAAATCCCCTGTCAAGCACGGCGTTTGCGCTTGGGATGACGTCATCACTGAGAAGGTTAAGTTCTATCGCGACCGGAAGACTTCTCTTTTGGACAAAAAGGAGTTCAAATTTCTTGTTGCCGCCGGCTCCAGCAACCGCGGCGCTGTCCTCGGCGAGGCCATTCTCAACCTCGCGGAGTGCACCACCAATAATCTGGTTGATAGCAGAGCTCTCCCGCTGCTTAATTGCCGATCGGGGACCGTTTTGCACGTGAAAATTCAATGCCATCCTCTTAAACTTGTCGGCCACGGTACGACGAACCCCGAGAAGTCTCTTGAAAGTGACGAAGAGGATGAGACGCGATTGGAGGCGGGGGAACTCAGAGGAGGAGGAGGAAGAGAGCAAAGGGGGGGCGGAGCGGGAGGGCGGGAACGAATCGGTGATGATGGGTATAAGAGTGCCCCGGAGAATCAGCTTCATGTGCGCCGCGCCGGGAGCCCTCAGTCTAATCGACCTTACTACAGCGGAGGCTTGTTAGCATATCAACAGCCAACTCCCGACAGTCGCAGCGGTCAGCTTCCCCCCCCGGCGGATGATTTCAGGTGCAGTCCTAGACTCCCGACCGGGGTAGAACTACAGTGTATACCCGATTTCACCATACTTAGGCATTCGAAGAAGGTAGGAGCAGGAGTGAGGAGGATTACCCATAGCCTTGCAGGTTTAGGGAGTGAAAGTTTTGGATTACGCGATCAGAGTAAAGGAGGCGACGATGGCGGCGGCGGGGGGAGCATTGAAGAGGAAGCCGGGAGTTGTAATGGTGGCAGCATGCGGGAAGAAGGCACGGGGCATTGGTGGAATGGTTCTTCTGGAAGAAGATCCGACAACGGGCGAAGCGACGGCAGGGGAGATCATCAAGCTGCAGAGCTCAGGGGTTGGGGACTCCTCAACTCGCCAATCCTTTCTAGATTGGGATTGCAAAGGGAGAATGAAGCCTCGGAGGAGGTGGTTTCTCCACGCTCCTCCTCCTCCCCTCCTCTACCTCCATCGCTAAATCCCGAGCAACAAAAGCGACAGCCAGCCTTGCTTGAGCGGGAAGGAGGAAGAAGCTCTTCCGGTCGGGATGGGGATGGCAGCGATCCCAGCGGTTCGAGAAACAGTTCGGAAATGCGCCTGGGGGCGGCGCTTGCTGTGCGCGCCACGCGGCAGAACGAGCTTGAATCGCTGAACGCCCGTGTAGGGTTGCTCGGGCACGAATTGTCTGAAGCGCTGGTGCAACGAGACCATCAGGCTGCGCAAATTTCCCGCCTAACTGCTGAGCGGGACCAATTGCGCCGAAGGTTGGGGGCAGCCGACGGCACCGTTGATCGTCCTCCTGCGCATGATGCTGGCAATGGCATTGGCAATGGCGATGGCGATGGCCATGGCGGTAGGAATAGCCTGCAGGGTGAGAATCAGCAGCATCTATTTAATCGCGGGCTTGGGGGAGACGATGAGGATGGACAGGAACATCCTCTGGAGGTCGAGAACCAGCAATTATCTCAGCAGGTAATATCGCAGGCACTGGAAATCACGGAGCTGAAGAACACATGTCACAAGCTGAACGAGGACGTTCAGAATGCGGAGGAGGTCGTTAATCAGCTGAAAGCCGAACTGGAGACGTGTAAATCGGCTGGAAGGGTCCTCGAAGAAGAAGTGCAGGCGGCGAGGGAGCATCAGAGTGCGGCACGTGGGGTGCGAGACTTGGTAGGGGAGTTGGAGAAGAGACTGGCGGAGAGCACAGAGGAAAACCGCAGGCTTGCGCAAAGGTTGCTTCTAGAAGGAGCGCAGCTTCAGCTTATGCGGGGGCGAGATGGCCACCACTATGACGCTGCAGCTGGCAGCGGGGTGGGAGGGGGAGGGGGAGGGGATCAGAGTCTTGCGGGGAAGTTTGGCGTCGGGTGGGGGGAGATAAACGAGAGAGAAAGAGAGAAAGAGGTGCAGCAGCTGCGCGCCAAGCTTGCTGAGCTGGAAAAGGAGCTGGATGAGATGTCCAAGGAGAGCATGGAGTTTGCTGTGCAGCGCAACCAAGCCAGGAAGGATGTGTTGCAGAGAGACTCATTGATCAAGGTGTTGCGGGCAAGCTTGCGCGCTTGTCAATTTAAACTGCGGGGGGAGGAGTCGAGCTTGCACGAGTGTGATCCGGAGCCTCCTTTGCAGGGTATCGGACCGAAGGGGGAGGGGGAGGAGGAGGAGGAGGAGGAAAAGGTTGCCAACGTGAAGCCGCGGAGGGATTCCCCCCCTCCCCCTCCCTCTGCAGAAGAGCAACGGCAGAGGAAGAAGGAGGTGGAGGAGCTGAAGGTTCGGGTTCAGGAGCTGGAGCAGCAAGTCCAGATCTCCACGAGGGTGATCAAGGAGACCAAGGCAAGTGCGGAAACGCTTGCGGAACTCGTGCGCGAGCTGGAGGGTAAGCTTCGGGAGGCGGAGGAGGGTGAGGACTTCGCAGAGCAGAAAGCCAGCGAGTTGCAGTCGGAGTTGAACCGAACTTCCGATTTACTCAAAGACAGTGCTTTGGAAGTCGAAGATCTTAAGGCTCAGATTGACCAATTGATGGCAGATCGGGATCGCAACAGGGCTGCGGTGTTCCACTTGGGAGGGTCCGCAGACTCAGAGGACGATGTGCAGCAGGAGCAGCAGCAGCAGCAGCAGCAGCAGGGCCTTGAGGGAGAGGCGCTGTCTGACTTGGACGCCTTGACATACACCGATGAGGACCATCCGCGCGGGCCATCCTTGGGAGGGGAGGCAGGAGAGTGGACACAGTCGGCAAGAAACAACGTACAGGGCCATCGGGCAGGAGGAGGGGTCGTGTCTCAGGCTGGGCTCGATCCCTTGACCGCCCCCCTTCTGTTACAAATCAGGCAACTCGAAGAGCAAGTGGCTGTTGGGGCGAGGATGGTCAAAGTGACAAAGGAGAGTGCAGACAAGCTCGCCGGACTGGTAGCTGAGCTGGAGGAGAAGCTGAAGGAGGCGGAGGAGTGTGAAGATGAGGCGGAACTGAGGGCAGAAGAGCTGCAGGCAGAGCTCGACAGAATGCGCGACAATCTCCAAGAAACAGCTTTGGAAGTCGAAGACTTGAAGGGTCAGGTGGAGGAACTCTTGGCAGAGAGGGAGGTCCTGAGGAAGAAGGTGGTGGGAATTGATGTCACGGGGACGAAAGGCCACGTGGCGGACGAAGATGGAAGCTTGTCACGACGGGAAGTTGTTGATGATGAGCTGATGTCTCCTCAGTTCCTCAGACCTTCCGATGGGTGTGAAGAAGGAACTAAGCAGAGAATTGCCCAGGTCTCGGAGGGCCATGCTGATGAGCTTATGACGGACAGGGAATTGACGAAGAAGCAATCTGCTGTGTCAGCTGCCGACGTCACAGCTGTTGAGACAGCCCAGGCGGAAGAGAGCTGGGACTCGCTGGAAGGCAAGGTGTGTGAGCTGCAGGCTGAAGTCAGCAGATTGACCAAGGAGTTAGGAAACGAGCGGCTTGCGAAGCGGATGTTGGAGGCAAGGGCGGAAGATGCTGACGACGCACGGCGAAGGGTGCAGCAACTGACCGCGGAGCGGGGCGTTTTGAAGAAGAGAATTGTGGAATTGGAGGCGAAGATTGAAGATCTGGGTAGTGAACTGGATCAGACGGCAATGGCATTAGGAGAGGAGAGAAGAGCGAATACAGCTATGGTGCAGAGGTTGAGAGAAGTGGCGGAAAAGGCAGGTCGCAGAGTGAAGGAACTGCTTGCGGAGAACGAGTTGCTGAGAGAGAGCTTGGCCGCAGAGAAAGCGGCTGCTAAGAAGGCTGCAAGGGACCAACAGGATTGCAGTGGACAGCAGAAGCTCGTTGCTCAGGGTATTGCAGGGGAGGGGAGGGGGGTGGTGGTCCTGGAAAATCTCCCTTCATCAGCAGGGTTGCTACCTGTGCAAGCAGCAGACGAGGCTGCGAACACATCACAACAGAGAGCAGATCCGACCTTCCATGTATCTCCTGTGACTCCTCCGTACGCGATTTCTGTATCAGCAGGTGCCTCTGTGAAGATACTCAGCAGTGGTGGTACGGTTGGGCGATGCACGGAGGAGGAGGCGGCCCTGAGAGAAAGGCAGAGTGAAGCAGAGAGGTCTGCTCTTGCGGAAGGTTTGCGACAAGCAGAGTCAAACTTGGCCTTGGTGAATGCGAAGGTCGACGAGCTCCTTGCCGAAAAAGCCAAGCTGGAGAGGACCCTCGCCCTGTCGGAGGAGGAGACGACTGAAAAGGAACAGGCTCTGGCAGATGCCTCTTGGGTAGCAGAGAGAGAGAGCGAAAGGGCGGAGACTCTGCAGATGGCTGTTCGTGCCGCGCAGGAGAAAGCTGATGTTGATGCTAGAGCACTCGCGGAACAGTTTCAGAAGCTGCAAAGCGCGAGCGATGAGAAACAGCGCCTGGAGATGAGAATGCGCGAGCAAGAGGTGGAAGCGAATGAGAAGATTCACATTCTTGAAACGAGGCTTGCGGAGGAGCTTCAGGCCCTTACTGAATGCAGGAATCAGGCTCTGGCAAAGGAGAAGGAGCTGACAGAGGCTTCCGCGAAGGCGACGGGTGAGGTTGAGATGCTGACACAGCAGACGAATGAGCTGCAGCTGGAGATCAACAAGTTGACGGAAGCGAAGGCTGAGAGGGAGGCGCAGATACAAGTGCTTGAGCACCAGGCACGGCGGCTTGAGCAAGAGATATCTCTGACTGGGAAGAACAGAACGCTTGCCCTCCGGAAGGCAGATGAGTTGGCCGAGAAGCTTGGTGAGATGGAGAAAGAAGTGGATGAAGTGCGGAAGAGGGCGGAGAGCGACAACCAGGACATGCAAACCACGATTGACTCACTGCAATCGGAGCTGGCAGATGCACGGGCTCGAGACAATGAGCTGAGGTTGCAGAATGCCGAACTGAGTGGGACAATATCTCGACTCGAAGAACAGCTGGCCAGCTCCCAGGAAGACCTTGACTGTTCCAGAAAGAACGTTGGGTGTTTGCAGGAAGAGCTATCTGGCGCGAAGGAGAGGTTGCGATCTGAAGAGGAAGCGGCGCGGATGAGGATGGATCAGTTGTTGTCAGATATCGGGAGTTTGGAAAGTGTCAGAGATTCGCAAGGGGCTTCCTTGAGAGAAGCTGAGGTGGCGATTCGGGAGAAGGATGTTTCCATTGAGAACCTGGAAGGTGAATTGCAAAGATTGATAGAGCAGCTGGCAGCAGGTCAGATTGAAAGAGAGGCGGTCGCAGGGAAAGCGTTCCGGGAGTCCTCTGCTCTGCAGGCGGAGATGGCAGCATTAGAGAACAAGCTGAAGCAGGTTGAAGGCGAGCTGGCGGAGGAGAAGGCTCAGAGGGACAAGGACGTGAGTCTGTTAATGCAACGCATCAAAGGGTTGGAGAAAGAGCTGGGACAGGTCAGTGATGACAGATCGCACGCAGAGTTGAGGGTGCAAGAGCTTGGACAGCAGCTGGCCTCTGAAAAGGAGGATCTGGAAGAGAAGATTCTGACTATCGAAAGACTGGAAGGCCAAGTGCGGAGATTGGTGGACCAGCTCGCTGCTGCACACATCGAAAGAGAGGCATTCACATCGAAATTGCTCAGGGAGTCGTTGGCGCTGCAGTCGGAGAAGGCGTCGCTGGAGAACAGGCTGGGGCAGGTTGAAGAGGAGCTGGAGGAGGAGAAGTCTCGGAGAGACAAGGATGTGAGCGAGTTAGAGCAGCGCATCGAAGGTCTGCAGAGAGAGACTCGGCGAATCGAGGGCGCGAGGTTGCAAGCAGAGTCGAGTGTGCAGGAACTTGGAAGGCAGCTGGCCTGTGAAAAGGAGAACCTGGAAGAGAAGTCTCTGACTATCGGAAGGCTTGAAGGCGAAATTCAGAGATTGGTGGAGCAGCTCGCTGCTGCGCAGATTGAAAGGGAGGCCTTGACATCCAAATCGCTCAGGGAGTCGTTGGCACTTCAATTGGAGAAGGCATCACTGGAGGGTAGACTCAAGGGAGTTGAAGAGGATCTAGCTCGTGTGAGAGCACAGAGAGACGAGGAGGTAAATGAGTTAACCCTGAGAGTTGAAGCTCTGAAGAAGGAAGTGTCTCAGACCGGAGAGCTCAGAGTAGGTGCCGAGTTGAGGGTGCGCGAACTCGAACAACAGTTAGACTTGGAAAGGGGCGAATTTCAGGATACGAAAGAGTTGCTGGCGACGGCGGAGCAGCAGAGGGATGAGCTGTCTGAGAAATTAGCCGATATGCTGAACAGGAACAGTGCATTGACACTTGTGAAGGACATGGTTGAGAAAGAGAGGAAGGACCTGGACGAAAAGCTGGCGGCGCTGACGAAGACAGTGGATGCCGAGCGCGAGGAGAAAAGCACCCTCTCGAGCCGGCTGAGACTGTGCGAGGAAGCCGTTGCGGAAAGAGAACGAGTGCAAGCGGAAATGCAACAGGAGATGAACAAGCTTCTGGCTGAGAAGTTGCGGTTGAAAGAGGAGGTGGAGGTGGTGGAGGAGTTGCAAGGAAGGGTAGAAGAGCAACAACGGCGGATTAAGGCGCTGACAGAATCGAACGGCCTCATGTCCGATCAGGTGGGCAAGTTGCGAAGTGCTCTCAATGATGCCCTTTCCCCGACAGGAGGACATGTGGAGCTCAGGAGGAAAGTCTCTGCGCTAGAGGATGAACTGCAAAAAAAGATAGAAGCGATGGCCTTGCTAGAGGACCGATTGCAGAATGGAGTTGGGGCACCACCATCAGCGACGTCCGGCAAAAAGAGTCCAATCTCTGGGTGGAGCGCGGAGACTACTAGTCTGATAGCAGGGCTCAATCTAAGGATCAAACGGCTCGAGTCGGAGCTCGCTGTGAAGTTGGCATTGATGAAACTGGCTGAAGCCGATATGAGGGAAAGGGAAGACAGTCTCCTCAAGGAAATTGAGAGATTGCAGGCACTGAATGAACAGTTAGTTTCGGGCAAGTTCCCTCTAGGGGCAGATGATATCCACCGGGAAATTCTCCGGCTACGGAACGAGGTCTCAGAGTGTGAACAGAAGGAGAAGGAGTTTCATCTGTGCAAGAATGCGCGGGGGGCACTGGAGAAAGAAGTGCAAAGATTACAAGAGACCAACAAGACTATGACAATGATGGCTGAGGAAGAGCTGAAGGATCTGCGGGACCGGTACATGAACCTGAGCGTCCGCGTCGTCGAACTGGACATGGAACGCGAGGAACTCGTGCAAACTGTTCGGCAACTGAAGCGGAAAAAGTAGCAAGCGCTCTTAGTTCGAATCACGGGTACCTCTTTTTTTTTTAACGCATCAGTGACTTGTCGATTCCAGGCTGCTTGTGTGCAGGATAGGGCAAGAACAGGGAACCTTTGCTCTGCATCAGGGGTAGGTTGAACCGAAGCCTCCGGCGTTTCGACCGCGGAAGTAAAAGGAGGCGAGCCAGTGCACAAATCATCATGCAGCGGAAGCAGGAAAAATTTTGGGAGTTGATTAGAATTCGGGAAGACATATATTTCACCATCATGACATCTAAACTCAAACCTTGCCATGCCCGAGCAAGGGGACTAGACAGGGAAGTATCAAGGAACCTCCGAGGGGGGAGGGGGGGGGGAGGGGAGGGAGGTTGAGTGCCTCTGTTGCGAGTGGCCTGTGACACGCAATGTGCAGTTTGCTACCCATCTTGTTTGCATAGTGGGTAGGAGGGTTCCAGGGGGGAAATGGAGGGAGATGAGTTGCTGCCGTTGTTGCTACGTTGCAAGAGGGGTTTCCTACCCTTATGCCAGGCTTATGGAGAAAATGAGTGCCTCTGTAAAGAGTGGCCTGTGACATGCAATGCGCACTATGCTACCCAGCTTCTTTGCAAGGAGGGGGGAGGAGGCGGGGGGGGGGGGGTTGAACGACCAGTGCACCCGGGCGTTCCAGTGCGCGCCAAGCTTTGTCGAACCGCCAGCAGCGCATTTTTTATCTTTTTTGGCTGGCACCACCAGCCATCGAGTTCCGGTAGGCCCGAGGCGCTAAATTTTTGTACTGGCGGTTTAAGGATTGTTTAGGGGGCGAATGGAGGAAGATGTGTTGCTGTGATGGTGCTACATCGCAAGAGAGAGGTCTCCTGCCTCTCTGCAGAAACGAGCCGTATTGCCAGCTTGCCTTGTCCTGCCTTGTCCTGCCTCGCCCTGTCATCCAACAAGAAGAGAGGGTCCACTCTGGGGGTGGGGTACTTGGTATGGCGAAGGCTCGTGCAGCTGCAATGACGACAGCAGCGGCAGCGACAGTATGCTGTGGCCTTGTAATGGGATTGCCTTCACGTATCCGTCCCACCATGCAGTTTGATGGGTATATACTATATATGTTCATACGTGTTTTTTGCATGCGTATTTCGCTGTCGACGGCACAAGATCTTGGGGCTTGGGGAACTCGTTCCTGTCTCGGAGTCGTGCCCTCGAATGAGTGTATCGTGCTGATCGAGCTGCAGCTCCAACATGAGCGAGCGTGGGAAACTCCGTGCCGAAAAAGATAGTGAATGACCAGTGTGCAATCTCTTTCTCTTGTTGCCGACCGACATCTCCGATCTTGCGGGTCTGTTTTTATGTATTTTCCGGCCCACATTACAACAGGGCCAGGGTTACTCATCAATCTCATATCCAGCCGACTCCTGAGGGCGCTAGTTCGTCTCCTCTGTTGTCACCCGAGCCTAAGTTGATGGCGCCAAATCTGCAATCTGCGATGCTTGCGTCACAGTTCAGACGAACCTAAGTTGATGAAGCTACGTTCAAAGGCTTGCGAGCCTAGCTGTTTTTTTTTTTTTTTTTTTTTTTTGCCCCACAGTGTCCTTTCGCTTTCAGTACTGGCCCGGGCCAGATGCTTCGTGACCTTACCGTGTAAACCGGGAAGGGACAGGCTTAGCTTCGATCAAACTGGTGTTTGAAGTTTGAACTGATATGTCTCAGCAAATGTGCAGTATGCCTTTGCATTGCAGAATGCTGAATTAAAGTAAGGCCATGATGGGACTGCAATGAGTAGGAGGACCATCCATCTCTTGTCGCAAATGTGCGAGCCGCAAATCTACAGCTGCTGATCTAGAGCAGACAGATCCTTTTAGGTGCTTGCCTTTTCCTTTATTTAGCCACTCGGCCGCTTGATTTCTTATGCGGTCCGTCGTCTGCCACTCTTTGTCATTACGTGGCCTATCCTTTAGCCGATTGGGCCTTTGGATCCGTCTATCCTTTAGCCAATATGCGGGGGTCCGTCTTCTGCTGCTTGGTCAAGATGTGGTCTATCTCCTCTAAGCCTCTTGGTCAATAGATGGTCTATCCTTTTAGCCACTTGGTCAATACGTGGTCTATCCTTTAGCCAATATGCGCTCCGTCTTCTGCCATTTGGGCAATAGATGGTCTACATGGTCTATCCTTTAGCCAATATGCGCTCTGTCTTCTGCCATTTGGGCAATAGATGGTCTATCCTTTAGCCACTTGGTCAATACATGGTCTATTCTTTAGACAATATGCGCTCCGCCTTCTGCCATCTGGGCAATAGATGGTCTATCCTTTAGCCACTTTGTCAATACGTGGTCTATTGTTTAGCCGTTGGATCCATAGTTGCTGAGTCTGTAGCTGACGATGGGTCTATAGCGGATGAAGTTTTGGAAGACGAGTCTGTAGCGGATGACGGGCGTTTAGTCGATGGGTTTCCTGATTAGGAAAGAGTTCCTGCGGATCTGTGCTTCTCGTCTGGGACGGACAGTTGCCTCCTCTCTCTTGGTTGCTATGCTCATATCATATACATACGTACATATATATATATATATATATATCTTCTCCCTCTCTGCCGACGGTTTACTGGACAGTTCTGTTTGACGATATATATATATATATAAACTGCAGTCAGAAACAACGGCGCGGCTGAAGGTGAGGCTGGGGTTGGGCGGAAGCTATTACGAAGCAGCACAGGTATGAAGAGGGCAAGGGTCTCCATGTGCTGAAGGTGAGACTGGGAGAGGATGAGAAGGGTGAACACTGAACAGTGACGGAACTTTGGGCAGCTGTTGTGTTTGCGCTGTCAGGTTCGCCAGCCAATGCCGGTTGGCGGTGTGGTGCGGGTGTGTTCTCCGTTAAAAAGTCGAAAAGTCTGCTGCGGCGGACGAATGGACTAACGGAGGAACGGAAGAATTATATAGGGTATGTGTCCCGCGCGGGGGCCTGTGTTTGGTTGGTAACCTCGTAGTGTTATTGGGCCTCTCTGGTACTCTGTACAGGTTCTTTTTTTTTTTTGTCCCTTTTTTTTTTTTTTTTTTTTTTGCCAGTTGGGTGTGTGTATGCAATGGGACCAGGACCCTACGGGGCCCTGGTACTTGGGGCATTTGAAGATTCTTTGTGCCTGGCCTATTGGCTGGCTATTGGCTATTGGCTATTTTTTTTTTGCCTATTAAGAGAGTTGACCTGATTCATTCCGTCGGAGACCTGGTCCCGTTGGACCTGTTTCAGGTAGGTCCACCTGGACCAGCCCTTCGATTGGTTGGTTTATTTGTGTATATTATCCTTAGCGGCGGATTCTTTCCATTTGCAGACTTCCGGCTCCTTGTGCTGTTGATTTTTCTTTTGGACTCTGCATCCTCTCCAGTTCCAAGCTCGTTCTCGTCGCCATGGCCACCTGTTTTCGGTAAGTGTTTCCTCCTTTTCCACTTTTTCTGTTTGTCAATTTTATTTGTGCATGTGTCCACCCCCTTGTGCTGTTGATGCTTTTCGACTCGGCATGCTCTCCAATTCAATGTAGATTTCGTCGGTGTCCGCTGCTGTTTCTTTGCATGTGGTATTAGGTGTCGCTCCACTACTCCCGACATGCACAAAAGACACAGATAAAACAATCATGGCGGTCCATCTTTCCGTGTTCTAGCGGAAAGATTCACTCTCGTTTTGCACATTTCGAGAGTAGTGGAGTGAGCCCCATTGTGTATGCGTTGACCCCCTTGTGCTGTTTTTTTTTTTTTTTTTTTCCCCTGACTCTGCATGCTTTCCAACAATTCAAGTCTCGTCTCCACGTGTGGCTGTTTTCGGTAAGTTTTTTTCTGTGTTTTCACTTTTTCATGTGTCATTGTGGATGTGTTTCTTCTCTCTGCGCTGGTGCGATGCATTGCGAACGTTTCGTGAACCTTCTGCGCATATGGAGCTAGCGTCTTGCCGGGCATATGTGCACACGTAAGGCTTCCGATTGTTGTGTGGACGTAACTGGGGTCAGGTGCATCCCTGTCTGGCTGTAATTGCGGTCAGATACATTTAAGATATTGCTAGTGTGAATATGCTCTCAAGCGAGGTAGTCCTTGTGTCCATGGGTGCCTGTCGGTAAGTGGTTCCTCTGTTGCCACTTTTAAGATGTGTCGTCGTTTGTGGCTCCGCTACACAACACTTCACATGCATTTGGACGTTTTGTCGACCGGATACATTAAATCATGTTGGACTCGTCCAAATGCATCTGGTCCAGAAAGTGTCCACATGCATGTAGAGTGTTGTGCAGTGGAGCGAGACCCACTGCATGTGTGTGTGTGTGTGTGTTTTGTTTCTTCTCTGTGCACACGTGTCACCCATTCTGAAACTTCGCTGAACCTTCTGCAGGGCATATGCCCACGTTAGCGTAGCTAGCGTCTTCGTCCCCGAAAAGAATCGGCAGTCATTATAGCTGTTGTATCTGGGGCACCTCTCAGTCTAGATACAGTGATAATGACTGTACCGTCTATTTAGATGAATAGAAAAGAGTAGTGTTTCTTCGCACGGAATCAGTAATGCAGTCAGATACATTCAGGATGTGCTTGTGGGGGAAAAAAAAAAGAAAAGAAAAAAAAGATGAAGTGCTTGACACTGCTTGTGTGACTCTGCCCTTGGTCTTTTTTTTTTTTTTTTTTTTGGTATGCATTGTGATGGCTTTGCCTCTGCGAGTGTTGCCGTGCCACGTTCCACCTCTCACTCGTCGAATGTGGAAACGTTGAATGTGCTGTGCACAACATACACCGCGAGTGGTAGAAGAAAGGTCCCTTTCACAGCTGGCGGCCCAACCGCTTTCACAGCTGGCGAGTGGTAGAAGAAGAAAGGTCCCTTGAACGAAAAAAAAAACGCGTGGTTAGGGCACCGATTGTCAATGTGGATTGTGGTTTGAGGGTGTGGGTTCCAAACTCCGCGCCTCTGCGCAGAGACACCGGCGGGCGTTTACATAACGCAAGGTAAGCTATTACAGCCTCTGCTCAGAGACACTGGCGGGCGTTTGCATAACGCAAGCTCACTTGCATACTCCCCTCCCCTGGGCTGATGCACAGGTAGGCTATTACATCCACGGCCTGGACACTACCCGAGGGATCATCCATGGTGTTGCATGTTGGGTTCTGGCCTACGAGTGGTTTTTACCTGATACAGTAAAGTGGTCTGATGGGGATCGGGATGCAGGTTTAGGGTTTGTGGTCAGATGGCTCATGTGTGTGTCGGTTACCTTAGGCTTTGCTTTAGAGGGGGGGGGGGGGGGGGGGGGGACAAGGGGACCTTAGATGGGATGGGGTCCCGTTTGGGCGGAGGGTTGACTTGGGACAAGCTCTGCTGGAGAATATCGGTGGGGAACCTGCAGTAGGGGTTTGTCTTAAGAGATCCCGGTAGGGGGACGGGGGGGGGGGACAAGGGGACCTTAGGTGGGATGGGGTAGCTCTGCTGGAGAATATCGGTGGGGAACCTGCCCTGCAGTAGGGGATTGTCTTAAGGGATCCCGGTAGGGGGGTTGTTAGTAGACAGACTCTGGTGGAGGAAATCGTCGGGGAACCTGCAGTAGGGGGGGGGGCGCTGTCTGAGGGGGATGCTCTGAGATAGGATGGTCTGCGTCCCATAAATCAGTTGCTGACTGTAGATAGGTGCCTGTCGTGGGTCCAGGAACCGACCTCTACAACACCGTGGACTTTATATTTAAAAGAAAATAAAAAAACCTGAAAATAATTCAGAAAAAAGTCCAGGCGAATGATTTTTCTCCTCGAAGTCCGAGGACCCGTAGTACCTCCTGCCTAACCCGAAAGCAACAGGGTAACAGGAAAGCACTGGCTACTTCGCCGGTAGGGGAAGGGGTCTAGGTATCTGCCGGCTTAGACGGGCAGTACTTCCTAAAGTCGTACCCTTATACAGGGCCGCGGTTTTAGGAAATGTACGGGCCACTACAGGAACGCCCAAATTCATCCGACTAGAAACGTTTCTACTCTTATTCCTTTCCCCTCGATCGATAGCTGGGCCAAACGCTGGTGGTATGAGCAGGCTTTGCTCGACAGAGCCTGAGGGAATAACTCCCTTGGATCCCGGAGTGGATGCGACCAAAAAATGTACATCATTATATATGGGAGTCGACTCTTTACTACCGCCTTCGCCCGAATAAAATGCCCGGTCATTATTGCTGCATTTGGGCCAACTTTCAGTCCAGATGCAGCGATAATGACCGGGCGTTCTATTCGGGTGAAGATGGTAGGCCTTTGGTTACGAAAAAAGCGGAAGGGCTTACTTTACTATGATCTTGGAGTTTTTTTTTTTTTTTTTTTTTTTTTTCCCCTCTTAAAAACTAAGCTATATTTGTATATCCTATTATTGTTCTCTCAATTTCACATTTTCACTATCTATTATGATCTTGGAGGTTTTATGCAGCACCTCATCTAGAGTTGCGTTGTTTTTTTTTTTGTTTTTTTTTTTTGAAAAAACTTCAAAAAAGCAAGGAATCGATTATTATGAAACCCATGAGGCTGAGAATTCCCGACAAACAAGCCGGCCGGAAACGAACACAGTCACAGTCTGGCACCATGTTCCGTGTGAGAGGAGAGGAGTGTCAAACAGGGATAAATCATAAATCATAAATTACAACAAAATGAAGGCCTGAAAGGCCCATCCTGTCCAGATTCAACAGGTAATTGAATTGGTTGGGGGCTTAAAAGAATTAGCCTGAAAAAAAAGAAAAAAAAAAAAAGAAAAAAAGAAAAAGAAGATATGATGAAAAGACAAAGCACTTGTTGTTGTGAGCAGGTGTTTGTTCGAATATAAAAAAAAAGGGAAAAAAAAAAAAAAACAGCTGTGAAGCGACTAGTTGCAAAGCGAGGGGAGAAGGCGCTTTTTCTTTTTTTTAACTTTAAACTTTAAAGGTTACCTTTTTGAGGGGTTCAAGCATGTATTTAATATTTATTGTATGGGTGGACATTTAGGTGTGCTATGATCGGGTCCTTCCTTTGTGACATCTGTTAGAATTGCAACGACGCAGAGAAGATCAGCAGTCAAGAGTGCTAAGTTTTGGACAATGAGCCATGGTGGGCCTGGTTTCCTGACCAGGTGCAGCTCCCCACAAATAGATGGAGCCGTCAACCAGGAAGCCCCCTTCGGGAGGCTGCTCCGATCACCTCCTTAAGTGGTGCCCCCTGTCTCAAAGTGCCTTCTAATTTTTCGAAAAGCATGGCCCCTTTTTCTAGTATGACACATAAATCGAGAAATGGTCCCCACAAAGAGAAAAGGTGTACTCTGATAGGTAATGGATGATCTGTATAATGTACGCCGACTGACTTTTTATTTTGTTTCATGGCGTTTAAGCAGTATAATTATATAACCCTTTTTAAATCATTTTGCAAAATTCCTGTAGTTGCTGCAAAAAAGGATGTCATAGCTCACGCAAAAGTAATCGCAATTAAAGCGCGGGGTAATTCCGAAAGTCACGGCCGTCAACCTGCCGCAATGTGCTGAGATGAATGGGGCCGCAGGGTCGGGATAAATTCATTTAAAGTGGACACGTCGTGGCACTGTAGCAATGGCTGGCCCGTCAATGGCTGACCTTCTTCGAAGTACTGGTGGTTTACGTTACACGTGGGGATAATGGCCGTGAACATGCCGCGGTGTGTGTGTGTGTGTGTGTGTGTGTGTGTGTGTGTGTGAGAGAGAGAGAGAGAGAGAGG